ACATCTACAAATGTCTAAGGACAAATGCTTAGGGGAGGAAAAGCATGAAAGACAGGGACAAAGGTCTGCAAGTGAGATAGCACGTAACAGACAGAACAGCTCTAGGGGGGTGAAATAGGGACACGTTTGAATTATACAGGAATAAAAGGCTAAAAATAAAAGCTACTGTGAGTCCTGGAAATTCTCACACATCTTAAAAAAGCATTTTTGGTATAGGATAAGATTAGTTAAGTCAACTCTATCTAAATCTATTATACATATATTTACAAATTGAGAAGTTAAAAATATCCCAACCCTTCAATTCTGTCTTCTCAGGTAAGCAGCATTCCATGTATTAGTTTCCTCCTATACATCTTGACTTTTTTCCTTATTTTTCCTTAGTGGGGGGACTATGCCAGATATAAGGTACTGCATCTTGCTTAGTCACTTCACACATTTAAAATGTTCACTTATTGTACCAATATCACAACATATCAAGCTACTTTATTTTTATGATTGCAGTTTTTTTTTTGGTCAGTTGTGGGGCTTGAACTCTGGGCCTGAGCTCTGTCCCTGACCTCTTCAGCTCAAGGTGAGTGCACTACCATTTTGAGCCACTGCACCACTTCAGTTTTCTGATGGTTAGTTGGAGATAAGAGTCTTGTGGACTCTCCTGCCCAGGCTGGCTTTGAACCTTGGATCCTCTAATCTCAGCCTCCTGAGTAGCAGCTAGGATTACAGGTGTGAGCCACCAGCGCCCAGTGGTTGCAGTTTTTCATTGTGTGATTTTGTCATTATTTTGTTTCTAGTTGTCAGGTATTTATGCCTTTTTTAGTTCTCTTGCTATGATAGGTTATGATGAACTTTTGAATAACTCTAGGAATATGTTTATTTCTGTAAGAGTGATTTTTAGTCGTGTTCACTTATCATTCATCTGTGCCATACCAGGACTTAAACACAGGGCCTGGGTGCTGTCCCTAAGCTCTTTTTGCTCCATGCTAGTGCTCTACCATTTGAGCCACAGCTCTACTTCTGGCTTTTTTTTTTTTTTTTGGTAGTATAGTGGAGAGATTAACAGACTTTGCTGCCTAGGCAGGCTTCAAACCACTACCTTCAGACCTCTGTCTCCTGCTAGGATTACAGGCATTAGACACCAACACCAGGCTGAGGATTACTGTTCTTGATTCAAAGGACATGAACATTTTATTCATTGATAATGTCAAGTTGTCCTTTAAAGGACTATGGAAATTGATATTGCAGTTACAGTGTATAAGAGGTTCCTTAGTTTTGGCATTTAGATTGGCAAAAATATAGTTGATTTTTAATTTCTCTACTTAATAAAGAGACTGGATAAAGGGATTAATGCTCAGTACCATAAAAAAATCACACTATGTTCAATATTTTTTGATACAGTCAGCAAAGCCCTGAAAGAAGAGATGAACTCAAACTTGAGGTACACACTTGCCATTAAGGAGGAATTAAACTTTTCCGAAGTATTCTTTTTTTTTTTGGTGATAAGTATCAAGTACCTCTTTTAAGAATATCTGAACTTGTATAATAACTGTTTGTTCCTAAAGATTTTCTTCTCTAAATATGAAAGCTTGTAAGAAAGAAATCCAAAGCAAAACATCTATATGCAAGGGATGGAAGCTGGTGACACCTTCCCTTATACAAAAACAACCAGCCTTCTATGCCTTGATATACAAATCCAGAGAAAATCAAACACAACTGTCATTAAGGTGAAGAAAATGGAGAGCAGAATGAGAAAGAAGAGGAGGACAAAACAAATGGAAGAGGAAAAGCAACCGGAAGAGTTGAAAGAAAAGGGAAAAGGAGGTACTGTATCCCAAGAAAACATCAGTCAGCAAGTCCCTTATGGAAACTCTTTGCAAAGGTTTAAATAAATGCCCCATTACCTATCATTCTCATCTGAATTTAACATCACAGATTAGAGAGAAATCAAGGATTCTGTTTAAAAAAAGAAAAGGAATACAATAACTTTCCAAGCAGAAGCATAACAAAAGAGGAACAAGAATCTGATATAATGATATAATTTTTTTTTTGGTCGGTCGTGGGGCTTGAACTCTGGGCCTGGGCGCTGTCCCTCAGCTCTTCAGCTCAAGGCGAGCACTCTACCCCTTGAGCTACAGCACCACTTCCGGTTTTCTGGTGGTTTATTGGAGATAGGAGTCTCATGGTCTTTCCTGCCCGGGCTGGCTTTGAACCACGATCCTCAGATCTCAGCCTCCTGAGTAGCTAGGATTACAGGCGTGAGCCACCAGCGCCCGGCTTATAATGGTATAATTTTGGAAGTCATTAAGGTCATTATAAACTTTTTTTGGGGGGGGCTGGGAAGGTGGCTCAGTGGTAGAGTGCTTGCCTTGTATGCATGAGGCCCTGGATTCAGTTCCTCAGCGCCACATAAGCAGAAAAGGTTGGAAGTGGCACTGTGACTCAAGTGGTAGAGCGCTAGCCTTGAGCTGAAGAGCTTAGGGACAGCGCCCAGACCCAGAGTTCAGGCCCCACGACCAAAAAACAAAAAAAACTTTTTTTTTTGAGATAGCCTTGCTACTATGTAGCACAAATTGACCAGATTCTGCAGCCCTTGTTTCCCTAGTGCTGAGATTACAGTCATATTCCTGGGTTCCAGTAATCACTTCTTTTTTTAATATTCAGTGTCAACATTCTAAATAGCACTAGACTTACATCAAATTTTTATATATTGATTATATAGGAATATTTTAGTTTATCATACAAAAATCTAACAGGTGGCACGCACATGCAGTAAGCAAGCATTCCAGAAGAGACATTGCTTGGCTATATATAGAAGGCAGAGCTAGGGCATGTACTGCAGAGATTCAGGTGGCCACTACATTTGAGTCCACACAACGCTTTGATTATCTCACTTGAAGATGAAGCAGAATACCATGCACTAGTTATCAGTCTCGGGGCTCAGAACACTGAGTACTAATAACCAGTTCCAGGGGAGAATGCACATTACCAAGATCATCACTATGCCAACCAGTAGGAATGTAAGTCCCCTGCATCTCAGCGAGAGTCTCTAGAAACTCCAACAGTCAAGCACTGGATGGAGCAATACTTACTACTATAAAGAAGTTACAAAACAGCCTTCAGTGTGCACTGCTCCACCCCCTCATGGCTGGTGGTTGTCCCTCCCCCCCCCCACACAACTAGCTTACTGTAATTAATTATGTGAGCTGTCTGGGTGGCTTGTGATGCACATTTAAAACACAGGAGCTTGCATTTAGTTTGTCACAGGGAAAGATATTCCCACCCAAGGTGACAGGTCTAGGTGTGCTGTATGCAGCAATTTATCTTTAGGTAAAGGAAAGTTCCAGGCCCAAGGCCTATTCTTCGACAAGGAAGGTCCTAAATGTCTAAGCCTAGCTTTGCATTGTCAGGTCTCAACTTTAAAAGCTATGTGTTTTCAATTGAAACTTGGAAAATATCTTAGCCTCTATCAATTGGTGCTAATTTGTGGTGCTTATTTCCTTCAATGTCCTGGGCTGGCCGGCACCATGACTCTCCTATTTACACTCCCTTCTATATCTGGGATGACAGACATATGCCACCATGCCCAGCTTTTGCTATTGGGATGATTTCTCATGAACTTTTTTGCCTGGACCAGCTTAAAACAGCAATCTCCTCAATCTCAGCCTCCTCAGTAGCTGGAACAACTAGTATACACCACTCTGCCAAGCTATTTGTTGAAATGGATGCTTGAGACCTTTTTTGCCTTTTTGGCCTTGAACCATCTCCCAAATTTCTGCCTTCTAAGTAACTAAGATTATAAGCATGAATTACTAGTACCTAGCCTAAAATTTATTTATTTGTGTGTTTCTTTGTTGTTCCCGGTCCAGGGGCTTGAACTCTGGGCCTGGGTACACTGTCCTTGAACTTCTTTTTGCTCAAGACTGGTGCTCTACCACTTAAGACACAGCACCACTTCCAGCTCTGTGCCTAGACTTTCCTGCCCAGGATGGCTTGGAATTGCAATCCTCAGATCTCAGTCCCTTGAGTAGCTAAGATTACAGCCACTGGCATCTGGCCTAATTTTTTGTTTGTTTGTTTTTTTGGTCAGTCATAGAGCTTGAACTCTGGGCCTGGGCATTGTCCCTGCACTCTTCAGCTCAAGGCGAGTGCTCTACCGTTTGAGCCACAGTGCCACTTCTGGTTTTCTGATGGTTTATTGAAGATAAGAGTCTCATGGACTTTCCTGCTCAGGCTGGCTTTGAACCGTGATCCTCAGACCTCAGCCTCCTGAGTAGCTAGGATTACAGGCGTGAGCCACTGGTGCCCGGCCTTGGCCTAATTTTTTTTATACATTAAAATGATCATTAGGGCTGGGAAGGTGGCTCAGTAGTAGAATGCTTGCCTTGCATGCATGAGGCCCTGGCTTCGATTCTTCAGCACCACATAAGCAGAAAAAGTCGGAAGTGATGCTGTGGCTCAAGTGGTAGAGGGCTAACCTTGAGCTGAAGAGCTGAGGGACAGCGCCCAGGTCCACAGTTCAGGCCCACAAGTGAAATCCCCCCCCCCCAAAAAAATAAAATGATCGTTAGATCTGGCTGACAAATATCTTGTAGGCATCTGTATTCATAAAATTTGAGAATATTAAAACTGTCCACTGCAGACGTCAATGACTTGATTTTTAGAACATATAGGAAACATGTTTTAGGAACTAGAGCAGTGGCTCAAGGGGCAAAGGCACCAGTCTTCAGCTAAAAGCTAAGAGAGAGCACAAGGCCCATAGTTCAAGCTTCGGTATGCATACACATACAAAACCTGTTTTAGCCAGGTGTGATGCTCATTTGAGGAAGATCATGAAAAATAGGGCTAAAGTTACAGTGTTACTAAAAGAACAATGTGATAGAATCCCGCAGAATATAATCCTATATTTATCTTCAGTGTCCAGATAAATTGTCATTCATATATTAATTCTAAACTATTCTATTTCTAGTATTCTATAGCTATAAATTCTAGAGCTTGATCATTCTTACCAGGAGACTTTCCTTGTTGTGAGTTGCTTCTTCGCTCTCTGTATCTGGCTGGAGTAGATAAACCTGTGTCTTTACTAGGCTTGCTAGTAGGCCCCATTTCTGAAATGAGGAATCCCATCTGTTCTGAAGGCAAGATATTCTCAGATGGATTGGTCTGGCATTTTACACTGGCATCCACCTAAAATATTAAACCTATTTATTATTCTGAGATTTCCCTCATACATCTACCACAGTTAGTCAGAAGAATTCTATCATAGGAACATGATCCAGCAAATGTGGTTTTTTAAAAATCCTCATGAATGGTAACATCCTTTGATTTTTGTTATTTTTTTGTTTAAAAACAGTACATTTCCTCATTCTCAAACCACAGAAATGAATGTATAACTAAAACAGTAGCTTAAGATCAAAAGAAAATTTCACCATAAAGTATAATGGTTTTAAATTACAAAAGTAAGATGTTTAAACATAATTGGTTAAGACCATTATCTGTTCTATCAGGCTCGCCCTCTAGTTGGTAATAATTGGATGAACATAAACATAATACTTGGATTGTGTAAATAAGCATGGATACTTGATTCTACCAATTTCCTATTCTTTGTCTTAAAGAAACTGTCAATATGTCAATATTGTATAAGCTTCAGTCCCCATAAAGTCAGTATCTATCTTGTTTATAAAGTAAGTATCTTTCCTTGGTTACTAAGCATTCTTTGAGATGTTACAATATCTTTGTCAAAGTAGCCAACATTTGTGTGTGTATGTGTGTGTGTGTAACTCGAAGTAAAATGCTCATTTGGCATGTTCAAGGCCCTACATTCAAACCCCAGCAGCACCACCAAACAAACATATAAAACAACAACAAAAAAAACCCTCAAGCCGGGCGCAGGTGGCTCACGCCTGTAATCCTCCCTACTCAGGAGGCTGAGATCTGAGGATCAAGGTTCAAAGCCAACCTGGGCAGGAAAGTCCATGAGACTCTTACCTCCAATAAACCACTAGAAAACCAGAAGTGGTGCTGTGGCTCAAGCGGTAGAGCACTCTCCTTGAGTTGAAGAGCGCAGGGACAGTGCCCAAGCCCAGAGTTCAAGCCCCGCGACCCAAACAAACAAACAAAAAACCTTCAAGACATTTAGATCTGAAGTTAGATTAAAAAAATAAAAACAGGGCTGGGAAGGTGGCTCAGTGGTAGAGCGCTTGCCTTGCATGCCTGAGGCCCTGGGTTCGATTCCTCAGCACCACATAAGCAAAAAGAAAAAAGCCAGAAGTGGGGCTGTAGCTCAAGTGGTAGAGTGCTAGCCTTGAGCTGAAGAGCTGAGGGACAGCACCCAGAGCTCAAGACTTAGGACAAGCACATTTTTAAAAAAAATAAAAATAAAAACAGGGCTGGGAAGGTGGCTACCAGTGGTAGAGCGCTTGCCTTGCTTTCCTGAGGCCCTGGGTTCGATTCCTCAGCACCACATAAGCAAAAAGAAAAAAGCCGGAAGTGGCGTTGTGGCTCAAGTGGTAGGGCGCTGGCCTTGAGCTGAAGAGCTGAGGGACAGCGCCCAGGCCCAGAGTTCAGGCCCCACTACCGGACCCAAAAAAAAAAAAAAATCCTAACAAAAGTTAAAGCAGTGAAAAATAACTAATTTAATCTTACTATTTTCTTATGTTAACTCAGGTTACAAATGAATCAGAGACAATATTTTCAACAGTTTTTGTTGTTGTTGTTGTTGTTTTTTGTCAGTCATGGGGCCTAAACTCTGAGCCTGGGTGCTGTCCCTCAGCTCTTCTGCTCCAGTTGAGCACTCTACCACTTGAGCCACAGCGCCACTTCCAGCTTTTCTGCTTACGTGGTGCTGAGGAATCAAATCCAGGGCCTCATGCATATAAGGCAAGCACTCTACCACTGAGCCACTTTCCCAGCCCAAAATAACTAATTCATAAAGTTATTTTAGTTTGAGTGTACTTTTGATAGTTATTATTTAGAATCAAAATTTATAATCTTCTGTTCATAAAACTAACAGCAGTAAAGGAATAAACTTTTACCTTTAGCATATGCCCCTCAAATAAGAGTCCTTAGGAATGCAAGTAGTAATAAGAAATTTGAACACAGTATTGTCACTATTAGAATTCAGTGATGCTACAAGAAAGAAAAGACCCCCAACCTTATCCTTAAATTTCATCTAAAAATGGCTCAGAAAGTCCTCATGTTATCTGTTAAGCCATTCTTCTGGGAAGTGGAATGCTATCGCTGAGCTTACCTTATGTATCCAAATTAAGATAAAAAAGTCCCAACAATTACTCTTTTTCTTTTTAAGTGAAAGTGGTAGGAAAGTTTATTACAAAAGGAATACTCTTTCCAATAGCCTGAAAGCAGGTTGTCTCTAAAGTAGTGATTTTTACTCTGGCATTAATTTTTATTGAAATGTAGGAGGCTTGGATCATTAAATCTTTCCCAAGACCAACATTCAAGGGATGCTCTTAAACATGAACATAAACTTTGTATCACATTGCTTCTCTAGAGGTTCATTTTAGGCTGTAACATTAGTGGGAGAAAGGGTAGGGCCAATCAACTTCTTTCTGAATCCTTTGTGAGGAACACTGGGACATGATCCTTTTGGAAAGCTGTGAATACGTATTGGAAACAGTGCACACCTATTAAACCCAAATAAAATCCAGGCAAGCTCTCCACTTGTTAAAGACAAGTTTTTAACAAGGAGTACAATGTACTTTGAGCTTTATGATCCTTCTGTTTTCCCTCTTACCTGGTGTGTGCTGAATGGAAGTCCTTCCTGCACAAATACTACAGAAGATGGAGATGGATTATGGCTTAGCTGCTCCTTCAGTTTCACATGAGCTTGTTGCACAGCTGCAGAATCCTGCATAGTGCTATTTTCCACAGGCTGAGGTGTGTGGATGGTATAGATGTACTCAGGTGACTGTGGTAAAGAGCAGGTAATGGCTTGTTCTGTTCCGACCACAAAAGATGTAATATCTGAGCCTACGGGAGTAAGTGGCTCCAGTTGGCTAGCCTGACTTGTGGAAGATGAATTGGTATTGTTTGAATTAGCTAGGATATGTTGGCTTCTGTTAGACTGAGACGTTGAGCACTGATTCTCAACAGGCTCCACCTTTACCATCTCTAATTTAGGGGAGGAATGCAACTCATCTACTATCTGAAAGACAGCTTCTAGGTTTACTTCTGTCTTTTTATTTTCATCAGTAGCACTGCAAGGCCAGTTAGAAGGCAGAAATTCAACTGGATAAGAAGACTGCATTGGAGGATTCTGGAAAAAGAGAAAACAGGACTGTTTGGATAGAAATCAAATATAAGAATAAGGAGAACAGTGATAACATTTAGGTCATGAATGCTAAATATAAACACATCACATTTAAAGCTCTCACTAAGAAACCTGAATACGAATCTACATGTCAGCAGTGGTTGCTTTGAATGTACTGTCAAGTAATTTCTTTTTGTGCTGGTTCTGGAGCTTGAACTCAGGACTTGGGTGCTGTCACTTTGATTTTTCACTCTATTACTTGAGCCATAACTCTACTTTCAGGTTTTTGGTGGTTAATGGGAGATAAGAGTCTTAACAGACTTTTCTGTCTGAGCTGGCTTCAAACCTTAAGATCCTTAGATTTTAGCTTCCTGAGTAGCTGGGATTATGAGCCATCAGTGTCTGGCAACTCTCAACATTTAGTATTTTCTATATGCCAGCCATTATGTTAAGTTTAATAGAGTGGACCACTATTTCTCATGGTTAAGTATGCATAATTAAAAGGCTACAATTTGCTGACAAAATGTCTATATATCAAATCATCCATAAAGGCAGATATATCACTTTTTTAGTTATCATATATTGTTAAAGAAATGACAAAGGGTGCTCACAAGTCCACCAATCCTTCTATAGAAGGAACAGACAATCTGTTCCAAATGATTGTCTGTTCCAAATCATCTGAGAAAAAAATGTATTCCTGGGATTGTGTGTGTGTGTGTGCGCACGCACACGCTCTAGTGTACCAGCCCTGCGGCTTCAACTGGGGCCTGGGCACTGTCCCTGAAATTCTTTGCTCAAGGTTAGTGCTCTACCACTTGAAACAGACCTCTATGTACAGCTTTTTGGTGGTTAACTGGCAATAAGAGTCTCCAGACTTGGAGGAGAAAGGCGGGAGAATGTAGTTGTGGAGGTGGGAGGGAAAGGATGATAGGGGAAAAACAAAGGAGGAGGCAACAATGCTTGATAAGAAATGTACTCATTACCTTGCTCATGTGATTGTAACCCCTCTGTACAGTATTTTCACAATAAAAAACTTATTAAAAAAACCTAAAATAAAAGGGGGAAATCATATTATAGAGGAATCTGACTAATCAGATTATAATCTGATTGTAATCACATGATTTGACATGATTATAATCATATTATAGAGGAATCTGACTAATCAGATTATAATCTGATTGTAATCACATGATTTGACATGATTATAATCATATTATAGAGGAATCTGACTAATTTTTTTAAGTTGAAGATCATCAAAACAATAAAAAAAATCTTACACACACACACAAAAAGAGTCTCCAGACTTTCCTGCCTGGGTTGGCTTTGAACTCAGATCTCAGCCTCCTAAGTGGCTAGGATTACAGGCAGGAGCCACTATCACCTAAGATATATTTTTTATGTATAGTGCTTTGCACAGAACAGACATTCAGTATGCTTGATCATCTCAGATGATGAAAATCCCAAAGAACTATGATTAGATAAAATATACAATAAATTGATGCTGTCCAACATACTACATCCTTTCAATGACTCTTAGAAGGTAAGTAGCGTGAATTCAAATAGTATAAGCAGTAAGCTATTATATATAGACAATAGTATCATTTATTTAGTTTTTCTATATGCCTAGCATATGTAAAAAGCTTTACAGACATTTCATTTAATCCTCATAAGAGTCCTATGAAATGTGCATTTTTTTTTGCCAATGCCAGTCGAACTCTGGCCTTGAACTCTTGAACATTGGCTTTTTGCCAATGACTGGCACTCTAGCACTTGAGACATATCTCCAGTTAAGCTTTTTTGCTGGCTAACTGGAAATAAGAATCTTGCAGACCTTTTCGAAGCTGGCTTCAAACCTTGATCCTCAAATCTCAACTTCATGAGTAGCTAGGATTGTAGGCAAGAGCCATTTGCACAAGGCTTTTGTTTTTTTGAGACAGGGTCTCACTAGCCATGCTGGCCTTAAAACTCACAATCCTTCCTCTACTTCCCAATTACAAGGATTAGGGTTACATGTCACAAGTCCAGCTAAAACTAAGATGTAGAGAAACAATCATTTATCCAAAGTATATGAAATAACTGGCAGAGCCAGGTTTCAAGCTTAAGCTAGGCCGACTCTCTAGCTGTTCTTAACCTTGACAATATATGATTCATATACATAAGGATAGAATCTGAAATATTTTCTCTTTTTAAATTTTATGTCTGCTTGCATTTATTTCTGCAAAATGAACATGTACTTTTTTTAATTTTTCCCTTCTTTTGGTGGTACTGGGGCTTGAACTCAGGTCTTTGTGTTCACTAGGCAAGCATCCTATCACTTAAGCCACATTTCCAGCTTTTTGCTTTAGGTTGTTTTTCAGATAGTGTCTTTGTGATTTTTACCCTGGACCATGTTCTTTCTATGCTTCCCTGATAGCTGAAATAACAGGCATGAACCACCCTATCCAACTTGTTAAATGGGGTTCTCCCTAATTTTTGCCCAGATGACTTCAATGTATAATCCTCCTCAATCGCTGCCTCTCAAGTAGTTGAAATTATAGGCATGAAGCACTTGCCCAGCCATGTGCAGTGTTTTTAAGAAATAAATCTTATTTTAAAAAAAGTTTCAAATAGCCAGGCGCCAGTGACTTAGACCTGTAATCATAGCTACTAAGGAGGTTGAGATCTGAGGAATGCGGTTCAAAGCCAGCCCAGGCAGGAAAGTCCATGAGATTCTTATCTCCAATAAACCACCAGATAACTATGAGTGGTAATGTGGCTCAAGGGGTAAAGAACTAGCCTTGAGCTGAAGAGCTGAGGGTCAGAGTTCAAGCCCCAGGACTGACAAAAAAAAGTTTCAAGTAATTTATTTAAAATTTGAAGATTAAATATATAAATACCATCAGAATACCTTTAGCATAATCCATGGGAGAGAGTGTCTGGATCTACACACAACATCTAATTTGTGGGACAGGGATGTTCCTTCAGTGAAGATGAGCATATTGGGTTATTATGCTTGATGACATTGACCATGAAAAATGTCCAGCTAATTCCATGGTCTGATTTCATACTCAGATACAATTCACACAATCCAATTATCTACTTTCTACATGAATTTTCTTTAAAAAAGCAAAACCTTTTATTATCTTAGGCAGGGAATCTACCTCAATGTTAAAGCGCTTGCCTAAAGATACTAGGTTTCAAATCCTGGCACCATATAACACACAAGATTCTTTTTGAACTAGGTAGGTAGCTGGGTGGCTCACACCTGTAATCCTAGCTACTCAGGAAGCTGAGATCTGAGGACTAGGGTTCAAAGCCAATGCTGGCAGGAAAGTCTGTGAGACTCTTATCTCCAATTAACCACCAAAAAACCAGAAGTAGTGCTGTGGTTCAAAATGGTAGAGGATTAGCCTTGAGCAAAAAGGGTTTAAGGACAGTGACCAGGCCCTGAGTTCAACCCCATGACCACCAACAACAATAGTAAAAGAACTAGCCAAGTGCTGGTTATAATTCTAGCTACTCAGGAAGCTGAGATCTGCAGACAGAGATCTGAAGTCAGCCTAGGCAGTAAAGTCTATGAGACTCCATCCCCAATTAATCAGCAAAATGCCAGATTGGAGGTATGGCTAAAAATGGAAGAACACCAACTGTGAGCAAGCAAGGCAAATGAAAACCCAAAGTCCTGGATTCAAGCCTTGATACCAGCATATGTGCATGTGCACACACACATGCACACATACACCCTCCCACAACAACAACAACAACAAAAACACCTCTTAGTTAATTAATTTAAAAAGCCCACATATGGTTAATGGTTAAAATCTTAAAAGTGCTGGTCAAGAACAATGTTCATATATCATTCATATCTTCTCTATTTGATTTAGAATGGAGAAAACTAAGCCTATAATCCACAGCTAACCTTTGGCCACTCATAAAAACTTACACTTTGAGATGGGCAACAGAGGTACATGCCTATAATCCTAGCTACTTAGAAGAGTGGGATCTGAGAATTGTAGTTTGAAGACAGCCCAGGCAGGAAAGTCTGTGAGACTCATCTCCAATTAGAAAGCCAAAAATGGAGCCATGGCTTAAGTGGTAGAACACTACCCTTGAGCTAAATTTTAGCTCAGGGACAGTGAGCTCAAGCCATGAGTTCAAGCCCCAGCACTGGCACAAAAAATTTAATTACATTTTGAAATTTTACAAGATCAACAGTATTGTTCAAAAAGGACAGTGTGTCCAAGAATCTTACCTGGAAGTAGTTGCAGTGTGCATAGGAAGAGGCAGTGGGAGTAACACAACTACTTAAAGCATCCATGTGGGTAGAAGGAGAGCAGCACTGTAGCACAGCTGGAACAAAGTCAAACAGATAAGCTATCAACTAAAAGAAACCTCTACAGTAGTCAAGGCATTGCCATTTCCAATCTGGAACTCCAAACCATTTCTTTCGTAAGTCTAAAAAAAATTACTTAGGTCAGTTAGGTTCTATTATTTGTTAAAAATAATATGCTCATATTATGTACTTTATAATAATTTCTGTTTTTAGTCAGTTATGGGGCTTGAACTCTGGGCCTGGGCACTGTCCCTGAGCTCTTTTGCTCAAATCTAGTGCTCTACCACTTTGAGCCACAGCACCACTTCTAGTTTTCTGATGGTTAATTGAAGATAAGATTCTCATAGACTTTCCTGCCCAGGTTGGCTCTGAAATGCAATCTTCAGTCTCACAGCCTCCTGAGCAGCTAGGATTACAGGCATGAGCCATCAGTGCCTGGTAATATAGAATTTTAAAGCAGTTGTATCAACTTTTATAAGTGATTTCTTTGGCACCTAAATATCTTTTTACCTTTCTAACTAAACATTTCCTTATTGAAGTAATTTAATTTTATTGAAAATAGCTTATTGTACTTAGAATTTCTACACAATTGTTTCAAGCACTTTTAGCAATAACGAACGCTTGGAGGAGGGGGACTGCTTTCAAGATTAAAACAAGGAGCAAATATTCTGCAAATGTTTCTACCACTAAACAATGCATCTTGTAGAAATACATGTAAAAACTTTTAGCCATTTAGACAAGTGGTTAAGAATGCAGATCCTTGAGCCAGATTTCCTAGCTTTGAACCCCAGCTTCACAATCTAATCATGGTTAATTTCTTTTGGTCTTGTTTCAGCATTTTAATAAAATAAGGATAATAACAGGACCTACTTAATATGGCTGTGGTGAGGAATGATCTAATACTCATAAAGCACATACAATAGTAATGAGAACTAGTAAACAATCAACAAATGTTAACTATTAATTTAACTAAAGAAATAATTTTTTTAGCATGTTGGAGATCAAGTCTAACTATGTTTTCCAAACTTTTTCTTTATGGGTAAGACACCATGAAAAGATTGAACTCTTTGTACTGGAATAGTTATACTTACAGATGAAGTCTTAATAGGCTGAGTCTCCTCTTTTCCAGAGAGAGACTCTCCAGTATGAATGAGAATCAGTTATAACACACACCTTTGAATTAAACAGAGGATGGCAGTATTGAGTGCCTATCATGCCCGAGGCACAGTGGCAGATACTTTACATATATTAACTTCAAAGAACAACCAGATGAGACATTAACACTACTTTATAAAATAACAACTCAGGGGCTGGGAAGTTGGCTCAGGGGTAGAGCCCTCGCCTTGCATGCTTAAGGTCCTGGGTTCGATTCCTCAGCACCACATAAGCAGAAAAAAAAAAGCCAGAAGTGGTGCTGTGGCTCAAGTGGTAGAGTGCTAGCCTTGAGCTGAAGAGCTGAGGGACAGCACCCAGGCCAAGAGTTCAGGCCCCACGACCAAACCCAAATGAATAAATAAATAAAATAAAATAACAACTCAAACTCAGAGGTATTAAGTAATTGGCCAAGAGTTACAAAGCTGGTAGGGACAGAGTCAGTAACGCTCTTTATCATTACCTCTGCCTGAAATATAAAATCTAATTTTACTCAAACTCTACTTGCTGAATATCTTCAAAGGAATCTTTATTAGAATGTGGTAACTTTTTTTTTTTTTTTTGTCAGTCATGGGGCTTGAACTCTGGGCCTGAGCACTATCCCTCAGCTCTTCAGCTCAAGGCTAATGCTCTACCACTTGAGCCACAGTACCACTTCCAGTTTTCTGGTGGTTTATTGAAGGTAAGTGTTTCACAGCTTTTCCTGCCCGGGCTGGTTTTGAACCATGATCCTCAAATCTCAGCCCCTGGAGTAGCTAGGATTACAGGTGTGAGCCACTGGCGCCCAGCTAACTCTATGTCCAGAGTTTATTAATGTCCTCAGTATGCTAATAAAATTGGTAAATAATCTCATACTTTAATATTTGAAAATAAACTAACCTTTGGGCTGGGAAGGTGGCTCAGTGGTAGAGCGCTTGCCTTG